TGTCCGAATCCCACTTCTACTGCAGGCACAAGATGAGGTCCACCATAGCCATGGCAGCCCTTCTTCTTCCTCCACATACAGGCCGAGGCTATGGCGGACAACCGAGGCTTCAGCCTCCGGTACCAAAGACAACCCCAAGCAGCTATACCGCTGCCCCACTTCAAGGTCATCACCCAGCAGCTATRCCGCTGCTCACTCAACCGCCATGCCTGACTCTGTCCGAGCTTCCTTGATGGGGCACTACCCCCACTGGGGCCTTCCTGATGCAGCGCCTAGCAAGGCGATGAAGATGGTGTCTACCATAGCCAGGTAAGTACCCTACCACTCTCCTCCTTGGTCCCCTTCTCCCTCCTCCTCCTACCGGCTGAGCTCCACCATAGCCAAGGTGGAAGCTCCCGGMTTCTTCCTCCCAGCAGCGCTGTAGAGCCCAGCGCTCCTCCACCTAGCGGTCCAGCAGCGTGAYGCCCAACTCGCACACTGAAGAATGAGGCGGAGCTCTTCCCTCCGCCTCTAGATATAGCGGCCTGCTTGCCTCTTGGGCCGTGACTTCCAGGCCGCTCGGCCTCTCCAAGCAACCGGTACCTCCTCCGTTTCGGAGGGAAACATCATTGCAGGCCCTGATGTTACCCGTACAGGCTCTAGACTCAGACTGGTTGGACTGGTACCGGCCTAGACCTACCCTACCGCTACTGGACTCTAAAAATGCCAACTTTGTCTTTTTCTGCTCGGCCTCCGGTACCTCTCACGTCAACTGCAGTGGGGTGCAGTATCGGCCTACCGGCCTACTTGAGTGTTTTTCCGCTACCCCAAGGGCCTCAGGGCCGCTAGCTTCGCCACTTGAGTGTTTTCCCTGCTACAACCCTCAATGCCACGGCCACAGGTAAGTACCGGCCCTACGGGCCTACCAAACCAGCAAGTACCCTTGCGGGTCCCACACACACTCGTACCGACAACCACTCAGACAGGCATGCAGGTCACAAGCACGCACACACAGACAGACTTAGAAAACACAGCAGAATGCGGGAATCTCATCAAGGCATCCATTCCATCGGCAGAACTTCAGAAATCAGCAGTGTTCTCAGTCTGTGTTATGACGGGTCATTACACAGCCCAGCTAAAATAAAGCTATGGCGGACGATTATTTACCCTTCACGCCTGGGACACGTTCCCACCACCACCAGTGAGTCTCCCACTCCCGCTAATGGCGCCGCCCCCCATCGGGCTTCAGGGCTTTGCAAGAACCCAGATAACAAAAACCTATGGAATATCGAACTAAAAGATCAATCAAGGACTATAGGCTGGGACAGAGGTCTAGACAATAGGGTTACCCTCTCAACCACGCTATCCAAAACGCTGTAAAGAGCCTTTGTTGCCTAGACGGGTTTCCCACCACGCACCCAATGGGTACAACTCTAGTTTGCTCTTCACCGGGTCTCGCATATCATCCAACCCTGTGAGTGTCACCCTAAACTACAGCAGACATACCCCAGCGCTTAATATTATCGAGAAACTGTGAATCTCATTCATACAAGAAAAATCCGTGCCATTGCAAGTCTTAAACGAGAACACAACCCGACTTATAACCAATGAAACCCAACTTAATTGACAAGACGAAACTTGAAATGAGCGATCGTCCATCTGCCTTGTGTCGTAGATGAGTCCACCAAAACCTGCTGAAGCCCTTGGTCCTGCTGAAACGCTGCCACCGCAGCCGCACGCACTCCCACTGCGTCCAATTGCGCCGTTCCGCCTTCCAAGCTACTTCGTACAAATAGCACGTCTTGAGAGTACAGCGAACGACCTTTTGATATTGAGAAAGGAACCCCCCCTATCAGCAAGGGGTTGAGGGAGGACGGCTCCTCTGGTATCCAGATCCTGTCTGGTATAAAGAGTGATATGGGGGTCAAGTACGGAGCTGCCAGGATGCCTTGGCGTAAGAGTGCAAGGCACTCCTTACCCACTCAAGGGCTAGGCTACGCTAGGGCACTGTCGCCATAGCTCTCACACAGCTATGGTGCCTGGCAGGGTAGGCGCCACGTGAGAAAGATGACAACCCGAAGCTCACACGCAGCTCCTATTCAGCCGCGACTAACGATGACCGGGCGCCGCCACCGCCGCTGCGTTAGCGCACTCTCGTGCAGCCCTGTCGGTTTTCCGATCTTTTTTCAGATTTTGTGG